TAGATTACCTTAATTCATTATGATTGCTTATACTCTTTTATTTAGGATTATCTTCTGCCTTTTATTTAGGGATTTCAAATAAGATTTTTTCAGATTTGTTGTGATTAGATTTGATGATTTATTTGGGTGAGATCATATGCAATTTTATCACCTTCTCTCCTCCTATATGTATCGACTTTTACAATGGAACAAAACTCAGATTCTTGCGTCCAAATAACATCAGTAACTGATATGAAACTCCAAGAAAGTTTGTCAAAAGCTTTAGAAAAGTTGATTTTAATGGCAATAATCTTTTTTCTTTTCCTAGACCAGGCATTATGAACCTGTAAGAGCAAATCTGAGGCAATGAGAATATTATTTGAGATGAGCCTTCCTTTTAGAAAATGCACATTGGTTAGGTGCAATGATAGGATCTAGAACTCTTTTAAGCCTATTACTCAAAATTTTTGAAATGATCTTATAAACTACATTGCAAAGGCTAATAGGCCTAAAATCCTTGAGACTATGAGGTTTATCCAACTTAGGAATGAGGATGATATGTGTCTTATTAAAACTCTAAGTAGATGTTCATTATTCCAAAAATACTAAACCAAGTTGTAGAGGTCATCTTTAACAATGTCCCAATAAAGTTGATAAAAACCCGCATTGAAACCATTTGGACCAAGTGAACCGTCTTTAGGAAGGCCAAAAACAACATCCTTTATTTCCACTAAAGAAATAGGTCTCATAAGATCATCATAGTCTGAGGGTGACAAAGATGGAATAGGAATATGTGACAGCCCTTGTAAGATCTGATCTTCTAGAATTCTATTATAATCCCAATAGATGTCTTAGAAATACTAAGCAATTAATTCTATTAAATCCTTTTCATCTAAAATCCTAGTTCCATGTTGATTGTCAAGGCTCTAACTAAAATTAGAGGTTGACCTTTTATTGACAACGTCATGAAAATACTTAGTGTTTCTTTCTCCTTCCATAGTTCATGTAATATTTGCATACTGGGACCAATAGCTTGCTTCACAATCGTAAAGAAATTCCAACTCATTTTTAGCATTGAAAAAATTGGAATTTAGTGTCTTAGAACAGCTTTTATCCAGATTAATTGAGTTTGAAATATTTGAAAGAACCTTTTCTGCTTGGACTACTCGATGAGAAAGATTACCAATATGATGCTTGCTCCAAAAAAATTAAGGAAGAGAAAGAGTATTGGTAAGCTAACCATGGACCTTGATAGCTAGAGAATAAGAGATTGCTTGTAACCAACAGTCCTTAACGATTGTAGAATAGTCAGAGAAATTATTCCAAAAATTTTCAAACTTCCTAGTTTTCCTTTTAACAATATGCTATTCTACAGAGAAGAAAAGAGGGCTATGGTTTGAAGTAGCCAACACTAGAGGGCTCACCATAGAAGGAAAAGACTGCATCCAATCAACATTACAAAACACCGTATCAATTCTTTCCATGACATTGGCATCACCCTTTCTACTATTAGTCTTAGTGAATTTTGGTTCATTCTAGGTGATATGGAATAGATTAGCTTCATTTAAGCAAGTAGGAAAATTCTCAATATTAGAAGAAGAACGTTGATGATTGGATTTATTAGGGCAGGTCATGATTTGGTTGAAATCTCCAATCAACAACCATGGTAATTCAAAGGAATCAATTAAGGCAAATATTGAAAAGAACGTAGTAGTAATAAGTTTTTCACCATTTTAATAATAAAAATTACTTTTAACTATTTTATTTAATCTTTATGAAATAGTTAAAAATGTCTTATAGAAGTTTCCTATATTAAATACTCCTTTGGTTTTATTTATAAGTCACTTTATTAAATTTTTAATATAAATCCACTATTTTGTCCTTAATTTATTATAGTATAAATAATTAACTTTTTAATGGTGTGTATATTAAATAGGAATAAAGTTAAAAAATTATTATATTTTCATGCAGAATTAATATAGTTTAAGATTTTTCTTGATCTATGTGAAATATACTAGAAGTACCTTATAAACAAAATCAACTGAATATAGATAAGCACAACAACCCCACATGTCTTATAAACTATGGATTATAGAAAGGAGGGTAAAGGAGCAAATTTACCTATTGTAATATTCAAAAAGAACAACAGGCACTATAATAAAATGTTGAGGGCAAAATTACCTATGCTGAATCAAAATGAGGCCAAAAATGCTACTTCCTTTAAATTGACCAGTACTGATCGTTAGTTTGAAAACGTTGACCAAATGAGGCGACGCGGTGGTGATATATAAATGACGAAGTGTAATGTGACTACGTATTTTTATGAGTAGAAAAACATACGCAGTAGAAAATTGAAAATAGAGGATCACGTGCAAGCAAATAATCAAGAACAGACCAAAAACCCTGGCTACCAACGTCCTCTCCATCGACGATAACTATGGCACTGGTGGAGACCACCTCTCATCACCGTAAGTGGTGGCGAACTTCACCGACAGCCAAGACAACCATTGATAGCCTTCTTCTCCTCACGACCGACCACCTCCTAGTTTCCACCATCATCCCATCGACGCCTCCCTCACCATCAACCCCTTCCACTCTCTTTTTTTTTTCCCACCGCAACATAAAGCAAACCCAAAAAATCATTCTCAGTCAAAATCACAAATCACAAGCAATAAAAGTTTGAAAATGATGAGAAAGAATCTATAAAACAAAACTAAATGCTCTAAAATCATTCACAGCCTTAACAGATTTTAAACTTCTAATTTGTATTTACCTAAGCAAAGAACAAAGGGTAATTTTCATATGGGTTTTTTGTTGGAATCATCGTCAGTTGGGTCGAGAAAAGTTTTGAGTGAAATAACTTGCGATTTGCTCCAAGAAAGCCGGTGCCTTTCTATGTGGAAATTTGGCATCTCAAGTGTTGATGAGAAAGAGAGAGAGAAAGAGGGAGCCAAGGAAAAAATGAAAGAAAGAAAGAAATAAAAGAAAAAGGACTTTTTTTTTTTTTTAATGTGGTGGAAGGTAGCAATGACAGTGTTGGCGTTTATCGCTGTCAATTTTGGTGATTGAATAGGACCATGCAATTTTTGGGGAGAGGAGGAAAAAAGAAACGAACGAAGAGACTTGTAGGGTGTGTGCTGACATGTGTATATTTAATGGGACCCACAAAGTAAAAAGTAATGGCTGTTAATAGTACTTAATAGAATTGGCATTTTTGCCCGCTTTAAAAGGCTGATGGATATTTTTAAGGGGCATTAAATTCAATCTGCCGCTCCTCTGTTCTATTTATAGGTTTTTAGTTTCATTTATAAGGTATTGAGAGAATTTTTTTTGTATCGATGTATAATTTTACCTTTTATTTATTATTATATTATATTGTTTACATAAGGTATAATATATATTAAATAAGGATGAATTCAAAAGTTGTTGAATTTTAAATGAGACTTAATAAAGTTTAAGATTTTTCTTAAACTACATAGAATACTGCTCTGGTCCTATTTATAAGGCAGAGAGAAAAGATATGTTTTGGTCCTATTTATATGACACTAAGAGAAATTTTTTATATAAATATACAATTTTACCTTTCATTTATTATTGTGTTAACTTTGTTACATGAGGTATAATGTGCATTAAATAGAGATAAAGTTAAAAAGTTATTGACTTTTAAATAAGAGTTAATGAAGTTTAAAATTTTTCTTCGTCTGTATAAAATATATGAAAAGTGCCTTATAAATAAAATTAGAAGAGTAAATTGAAAGTGACTAGGAACAGAAGAGATTGTTAGTGGTAAGCTTCTACAGCTTTGACCAATGATCATATGGATGACATGCAATAAAATGTGAAAGACCTCAGGCATGTGCTGAGTAAAGCCGGCACGTATGGTGGAGCACAGCTCAGCGGCTCAATTAAAGGCCACAACGTCTCTCCACCAGAAAGCACGAAGCTTCATTAATGCCCCGAACTGTCTCATTTATTGTTTCATGTACACATCTCCTAATTCCGAGCTCCCTTCTCATTTCTTCCCACCTAATCTTATTCCTCTAACCTCAGTCCCCCCAAAAAAAAAAATCTTATTCCTCTAACCATCTCCTATGACCTAAATTCCTTAATCATCACATCCATTCATCTTGATTTGAGTATTATCAGACCTAAGTATCTGAACTATCCTTCTTTTGGATCTGTTTGATGGAAGGAATTACAATAAAGAAGGGGGGGGTTTTTAATGAGTTCAATTTTTAAAAAAAATTAGGGAAGTGAAGTTATAACATTTTAATAAAAGATGATGTAAGATAAAAAGTAAAAAGTTAATTATTTAAACCAACCCCTTCTTTATACTTTTCTGATCTTATTTATAAAGCAAAGAGAGAAGTTTTTCTTATTCCTATTTATGAATTATTTTACTAAATTTTTAGTTTAAATGTACTATTTTGTTCTTTATTTATTATAGTATAGATAATTATTTTTCTTAAAAAGTATATATATTAAATAGAGATAAAATTATAAAATTATCATATTTTAATAAAAAATTAATACAGTTTAAGATTTTTTTATCTATGCAAAACATATTGAAACTATCTTTGTAGAGTACCAAATGAGTATATTTTCACATTTACTCACCCTGTAGCTCCATTTACAGCACATTCCCACCGTCCATGCACCTTTTGAGTTTGAAGCCTCCCTTTTAATGCATTAGCTTTTTGAATATTTTTTCTTTAATAATTAGATTTTACACAAAATGATTGATATTTTGACACTATAAGATGATGAAGCCGCGATGTTTTTATTTTTTTAGCATTTTAAAACAAGTAAAATAAAATTGCACAGATTTAGAAAGAGAAGACATTTGAAAAATTGTTGCATCATAAATTGCATTGGAGAAAGCCACGTTAGAAAGCCCTAATTAACTCTCCGACCTCTCTCACTAACTTATTAATAGCTCAGCCGTCCCAATGTCCCATACCGAACGCTACTTACCACCAACTCCACATTAAATACCTCACGCCTCCTTCTTTCTCCCCATACCTTTGTGTTTTTTCTTTCCCAAACTTAACTCTTTTGATTCACATAGCAAGCTAAAGTCTGATTATTATGGAGCACAAAAGCTTGAGCTTATGCTTGATCTTGAGCTTGAGCCTTGTTTTGCTGGGTGGCCCGGTGGCCGGAGCCGAAGATCTGGTGACCAAGTGCGGCCAGGTTGTTCAGAAGGTGATGCCATGCCTCACCTTCGCGACGGGGCAGGCGGCGGTGCCGACGAAGCAGTGCTGCGACGCGGCGGCGAGCATAAAGGAGAGCAGCCCGGAGTGCATGTGTTACGTAATACAGCAAACACATAAAGGAAATGCACAGAGTAAAAGTTTGGGCATTCAGGAAGCTAAGTTGCTTCAGCTTCCTTCTGCTTGTAAATTGAACGCTAACATCTCTCATTGTCCAGGTAAGTTGTTGTTCTTTTTCTCTGATTTATTTTCTTTTTTAAAAAAAAATTAAAATCTTATTGAATTCACATGTATTTATTTATTTATTTAATTTTCTTGGTGCTATATTTACAGTCGGTAGTCAAATACTTGACATCAGATCTTGTTCTTTAGTTATTTTTAATTTATATCGGGGATCCTCTCTCTGTTTCTTCCCCCAAAATATTCATATATACTTTTTGAGTTTTTTTTTCATGTTCATAATAATTACTTCATAATGTCTTAACTATAAAGAACTAGGTGTAGAATTTGTTTTGATTGTAAATATAAGATCTTCATTTTTCTTTTCAAATGATCCTCAATAATGACTAATTTAGCGATTTCTTTTTTAATTTTTGTAAATTAATTAACTATGTCTGGAAGTAATATGTGAGTTATGAAATATTGAAACATATTTATTACAAACCGTGCTATAAATAAAAACCTATTAGGAAATTTGAAGAGATACAATCTATTAAATAATTAAGTGTGGTACGGTATAGAAAAGTTCTTTCCTAGGCGCTCTGGTGAGAGTCTTAAATATAATTAGATGTGTACCAGTTAGATAGGTTGTGTTAAAATTCAACAACTAATAAAGGTCGCGATACATGAATATCATTTAGAAGTTATAATTATAATTATATATAATTATGCATAATTTTATAATTTTAAAAAAAATTTCTACTATTTACGCGCAGCTTGTGAATTTTGATTCTGATTTTGAAACAGCTTAGTGAGTAATACTCTGTACCAACTTTACCACTTACCAGGCTATCTGATCCCTTGGTTGAAATTTAATTCATTATATTTTCCAAATTTATAATTTTTTTAAAAAATACCTCTTGATTTTACAAGGTATAAAAGCATTTCTATACAAAGAATTTTTATTGCAAATAATTATATGTGATATCTCAAGGGAAGCAACACATTTTTTTTTAAATATTCATAAATTAGTTATTATTTAAAATAGGAGGAAAAACATTTATCGGTCTCTGTATTTTCAGATTTAATTTCCTCTTTCGTTGATTCCATACTAACTAATAATTTCTGATTGATCGCTTGTGAATATATCTATGAACAGAGCTTCTAGGCCTACCTGCTAACTCGCCGGACGCAGCAATATTCAAGAATACTAATTCTTCATCGGCGGCTATGGCTCCCGGCGGAGCGGCCGACGCCAAGACGAACTCCAGTAGCTCGACGAGCCCATCAGGATCGATCGGGAGCACACTTCAACCGCCGTTCTTTGCCGACGTATTGGCGGTGGCTTTGGCCGTCCTTCTGGTCGCATTTCCGGCCTCAGGATTTCTCAGTGTTTTCACGTGAAAAGACAATATGTTATCTATCTACATGATTTCATTTGTCGCTGTAGGGCTTTGATTTGAAGAGATTTTATTATCAAAAGGAGGTGTGTTTGTGTTTTTTCTTTTTTTTAGGTTTGCTCTCTTGGAAATGGGAACATGGAATCTTCTGTTTGCCTTTTCAGTGGTTAATCTTCTATTTGTGGCACTTTGCACACGGAGTAGTAATATACCCTGATGACTTTTTTATAAGCCTCTTTGATTGTGTGTTTGTGTGTTTATATATATATATATATATATATATATATCAATGTAGTGTTCTCTTTTGATTTTTGTCATATCATGTGTAGTTGGTTTGATCAATAATGTTAAGGCCTCTCACACATGCATACTCACTTATATAAATACATACATGTATGTATGTATATACGAGTGTGTCACAGTTCTAAACTTCGTGTGTGATTATATTTCCATAGGTTATATTTCTATATCCATCTTTTCTATATAATTTCTATGATTGGTTGGTTATTTTATTAAAACTTTTGGGAAAATTGGGGATTTATTCCCATTTGAAAATTTAACTGGGGAATAATGTCCTAAGAAAAAGCTGTACCATGAGTTCTTTTAGGGGAAATGAGTTTGATGACGAAAAGATTAAACTACATTTTTTTTAATCATAGAATATTTTTTAAAAATTTTAGTGTTTTAGAGACTGCATGCTCCACGGGCTACCACGATTTAAGTAGCACACGGTTGAAGTTGCACATACGGAAGAAAATATGCAAGTTACATAGAGAGAAAGATGGATTGCATGAATGGTTTGCACATGAAAAAATGGACTGTAGGTTGCACACAATGTAATTTGTATAGACAAAAAAAGGCAGGAGAGATGGGTCACAACAACAACAAAAAGCAAAGTGGTCATTTTATGTACTTACATATTTTCGCTAAAAGATCTCATGATTTCACCTTTTCGTAGGGACCATTTCTAAATTTTTCCAAGTTTTCCCCAAAAAAAATTACGTTAGTCATTTACACTTTATATAGAGCACGTAGCTACCCACAAATATCATCAAGTCGTGCGTCACGCAATCCTGTATTACATATCACCCATTGATATTGTATAGCTAACTAACTGCCTGCTGATGGTAAAAAAGAAAAAAAATAACTATTTTTCAAGAACAAAATGAGGAATTCTAAAAACAGACGACCTGTCCAACATTTTAGTTAGTTTGGTGCGTATGCAATGAGATGTACTATCTCTAATATCAAATATAAGACCTAGTTGACTAATTTGAGGAGATTAAGAAAATAAATTAAGTTTAGTTATTTGTAATAAATAAGTGTTGTCTTTTCTAAAATATCTTTACTAATCAAGTGTATTGGCTAAAATTATTATTATTAGAAAGACTACCTTAGGGGGAAAAAGTATAAATATGAGAGACAAAATGGATTTGGATCTTATATTTAAGACCAAAATAAAAGTCAAAATAAGTCTTATATTAAGGATTGGAGGTAGTATAAGTTAATATAAATTACGTTTGTAATATAATAAATATCATCTCTACTTTTACTTACAAGACTTTGTTTTAGAATTTTTTTATAATCTCTAATTAAGACCTTTTATAAAAATATATATATGAAGTATTACCTCCAGCTCTTAATATAATAGTTAGTTTGACATTTAATTTGATCCTGAACTTAAGATCTCAATTCACTTTATCTCTTATATTTATCTATTTTTTCAAAGTAGTCCATGTGATAGTTGCAAATATTAAAAGACTCATCAAATTGTAGTTTTAGCTAATATACATGATTAACAATGGTATTCTAGAAAAAAAAACAATGGATATTTATTACAAATAACAAACTTAACTAATTAGGTTTTATATTAAGGACTGAAAGTGGTAGTTTTTATCTTTTTTTTTTTTTGAAATATGCCATCAATTATTCATGAAGTACATTTGACTTTGGGACAAAAGTTAAAAACTTTAATAAAAGTTATACTTATAGAATGTCATGATAATTTTTATCAGAATGTAAGAGCATTAATAATTTTAACCGCTTTTCTTAACTTTCACCATGCGTTTGGACATTAGACTGGGATGACCGAACCCACTTCTGCAAATTCAGTTTTTATTGAATGATTCGGTTAAAAAAAAAAAAAGATGGTTTGGAGTTCTCTAAAAAATATAGAGAAAAACTGAAAAAAAGGGTCAATGAGATCATTAAATAAAACCTTTTGAGTAACAACTTATTTAAGAATTTGTTTTCTAATAAAGCACAATAACGTTAAACAATTTGTATAATCATTATAGCTGATGACCTCACCTAATAGAATAAAACTTGTTATTATCTTCACTAGTACAATCTATTAATTTTCTCATATTTTAAATTTATCCACACGAGACTAACTAGTTAACAGAGAGATATATTCGAAAATTGATAAACTGATTTATATTTTCACCCAAAACCAGCTAGTTGGACACTATTTTCACAGATACTGTGGTTAGCCAACACGTGCACCCACTGATAAATTAAGAAGACACACTTAGAAGCTGTATATAGAATTGGGAAATATCTTAAAGACTCACCAAGAAGAGGTCTTCTATTCAGAAAGGGGATCAAACCAAACTGGAAATGCCACCTTTGATTCTTAATATAAGAAACTAAATAATTAATTAGCAGATATTAAGAAAATTAGTTAAGTTAGTTATTTGTAATAAATGTGTGTTGATTTTCCTATAATATACTTTTTATAATTATGTGCATTGTAATTACTTCTTGATGGGAACCCTTTTACTATATGCAATCAATAGGAATATGGTGAAAAAATTATAAATTTAGAAGACAAAGTAGATTAAGATCTCTATATATTTTTTTATATTTTTATATTTAAAATCGGAGGTGGTATTTACTAATATTGATTAGGCAAGATTAGCTTGACATTAGCTATACATTCTGGGGGCAGGGGGAGGATGGATTTTGTTGGGTTTGAGAAGTAAAAAGCAGAGTGCACTTGATGGCAAAAATGCAAGATCCAGCTTGACATTGGCCAAACATGTGGTCCTAAGTTATATGACAACAAGGCAACAATCAAAATCTCTCTATATGATGAGATGAATAGGCATTTCATCAAGGAAAATGTTAGTACGAGTTATTTGATGGCTTATGTCTATTCAAGAGCAAGTGACATGGATTCTAATCAAATAATTACCCCACTATACTTTTGAAGAGATAGAGCTTGTTTGAAATGGTGATGAGCATAAGCCTAAAAGGGAAGTCCATCCTAAAAGACTAACCTATCAGGAAGGTGAGTCCCTTAACCTTATAAATCACACAATACATATGAGGTTTCTTAATTTGAGACTCATAACAATACACCCTTTTGAGAGCTTACATCCCCAGCGGCTACATTCTACAGCACTTCATATGGTTTTCTTATTAGTCAAAACCCTCCGCATGTAGCCTTTCTGATTGGGCGACCCTCCATGAAAACACTAATGCGATGAGCATGAGCCTAAGGAGAGAACCCATCCCAAAAAACTAGCCCATCAGGAGAGAGAGCTCCTTGAACTTATAAACTCTATAACGCTTGTGAGATTGACTCATAACAGAGCATCCTTCTTCAGAGCCGACGTCCCTGACAGCTCCACTTTACGGTACTTCACTCAGTGCTTTAATCAGTATCCTACCGATCAACCCCTCTAGTCAGAACCTTCTACAAGTAGCCTTCTCCAGTTGGCCAACTTTTAATAAAAGTACCAATATAATGAATATAAGCTCAAAGGGAAAGTCCATTCCAAAAGACTAGCCTATTAGGAGGGAAAGCCCCTTGAACTTATAAACTACACAATACTTGTGAGACTTCCCAATATAGGACTTATAACAATTACACATCAATTCGTATCAGAGCTAGACTGGCAGTAATTCTAGAGAGGGCTACCTATAGAGCGTTCTAATTGGTAGGATGCCAAGTGAAGTATCATAGAGTACAGCCGCTAGGACGTTGACTTTGCACGAGGGGCCAATTGATGGGGATTTGGTAGTATGAGATACCAAGTCCCACATTGAGTAAAATGTGATGCTGAATGCAATATTTAAGTTGACTAGTTTACCCACTTAAATAGCTAGTTTATAGGGTGAGGTTCTCCATTCCCACTTAGATACCCATTAAATGATTTATAAACATCTTTTTAATTATAATTTATGGAATATGAAGTAAGTATATGATAGGAGTTTTGTCTCAATTTATATAAAAATGCTTATAAGCATTTACAATAAAGTAGATGCAAACAAGCCCCTAATCAATGAATGAATTAGAGATTATAACCGTGCTCAAATCCCTATATATTAGGGATTAGGGATTTATGCAAACAAATCAATCATGTATAATTTTTCTTTCTATTACATTTACAGGAGATTAGAGATTGGTTTATTGGATTTGATGTAACTATTTGTATACATTCCCTGCATTACAAACTATTTATGCACATGCTGAGTACAAAACCTTTACATTTTAAAATTTTTTTTATTCTTGATTATAAAAGGATTCGCAAACGTTCATCTATTTGTGCAATTCTAATTCATTTCTAAATAAAAGTGGTAATTTGAGGTTTCATGATCAATTTCTTACCAAAAAAAGGGCACAAGATCTTTTTTTTTTGTCATTAAATAGTACTTCGTTGATATTTTAGCGGCTTATGACGCGTCCAGCACCAAGTATTTTATCATATGCGTTCAACATGTTAAAGTATTTTGTGATGAGTCCATTACCATAAAGGTTTTTTTTTTTAATGCATCCAACACTCTAAAAATTTTGTTGCATAATTTTGTTAAGCATTTGTGCTTAGTATTATTTCATGAGCAATTTTAACTTTATTATTGACACCTCAAAAAGTCCATTAAATGAATGTATATCAAGCATGATAAAGTATTTTTTTTGGGTATTTATTAGGATATTGGATGTACTTGAAAAAAATTTTTAGGTGTTGGATGAACTACAAAATATTTTAGGGTATTATATGCATACGAAAATACTTGAAGGTATTTAAAGTGTTAGATATACTTGGCCAAATATTTCAAGATATTAGAATTACCATTTTAATTGTTGTAAGAATAATAGTTTTCAATTCTAGATGTCATGCAAATTTATGGTTTTAGTGCTTAGTTTAAAGGATTATTGTTGAAAGAATATTCTAAAGGATTGATAAAATTAGTATGACTCATTTTTCAGATTTTATATGCCACATGTGCTTATATTATTAATATTAATCATTTAATCAATATTAATAATTATTGAAATCTATTCAAACTTTTTGTATAAACAGAGTAAATATAATTTTTAGTCTTTAAAATTTGAGTTCATTTTAGTTTTAATCCTTCAAATTTTAAATATATGATTTTAGTCTCTGAAATTTAATTTGTCTTAAACCATTAGTTCTTGAAGATGTAACTGTGTCAAAATCCACTGAAGTATCGTGAACATTGTTCCTATGTAGATAACAGAATGATTATATAGAGGGGGATGAATTCTCAAAACGTGAATAACATCTCAAACGAACAACAGGGAAGGAAAAAAAGGGTTAAATAGCAGCATTTTGAGGACTTATTCTTTTTCTCCCTTTGTTAACCACACAAGATTTAATTATGTGTTACTCTTCCGGTCCTAATTACAAGACCCAATTGACTTATTTGAGGAGATTAAGGAAGTAAGTTAAGTTGGTTATTTATAATAAATAAGTGTTGTCATTCCTAAAATATCCTTACTAATTAAGTATATTGGCTAAAACTATCATTATTAGAAGGATTATCTTGGAAAAAAATACATAAATTAAGAGATAAAATGGATTAGGGTCTTATAATTAGGACCAAATAAAAAGTCAAATAGGGTCTTATAATAAAGACCGGAGGAGTATTTAGTGACTTCACATTACCACTTTAACGCAATTTACAATGCTTTAGTAGATTTTAATACTATTATACTTTCAAGGACTAATGTTTTAAGATAAACTAAATTTCAGTTTGACGCCATGAATTTAAAATTTGATAACCAAAATCAAAATAATGCCAAATCTTACAAAAAATTGTATTAACCAACGACAAGTCCAATTGACCTACAGTAAGCTAAACGACGTGCGTCGCAGCTCACGCGTACGAACACAAACTGAACTGATCGAACAAAAGCCCTGGAACTTGAACGAAAGCCGCGTGAGCTGCTTTTTTGTGTGCGCAGCTGGGAGAAGCACCGTTTTGGTCATTCCATCGCCGGCCGAGATCTCTTCGCTTTAACTCCGTCGTAGGTCGTCGTCATGTCTCAGGTGAATGCCCTCGCATTCCTTTATTTATCCGAGTCTATTCTGCCGGATTTCAATTTCTTGTGTTTCTAGGGTTACTTCGAACCCTATCAAAATCATCTGATTCATACTGTCCATATTTGAATTAGTGGCGTATTAGGGTTTTATTTCTCAATTCTTGTTAATAGTTTGATTAAGAGGAAAAATGGGTTCTGATGCGTAGACTAGTTTGGTTGTGGCTTGATCGTGCCCCAAAAAATTGGTCAGAATTTGAGGCCCTGTGAACTCCATGGTTTCCTGATAATTTTTGGTTCCTTTCCTTTGCTTGTGCCTGCAGGTTGATAATCGAAACTCTTCAGCGGCCAAGCGTGCCCGTACTGATGGTGCGTGATGCGTCGTATATGTTCTTGTTTATTGACACCGTTTTCTTTTCCTGATATATATGGATTCTTAAAATTTCTGTTGCCACCTTTTCACCGTCTCTCTTCCCATGTCATCTTCTGAGGTTACCACGTACACATGAGACTCCATACTGTAACTGTTGCATAAACAGGATGGCACATTTACTACCCGCTTGTCATACACACTCAGTTCCTGAAGATTTGATCTTCTATAAATTTAGATCTCTAAGGACACACCATTCTCTCTTCGTGACATATGGTTCCCAACTCTTACTTGATGCTCTGCTGTAATATTGACTGTGCTTGTAGGTAGTCGCAGGGAAGATGATTGGACGTGCCCTAGCTGTGGCAATGTCAATTTCTCTTTCAGAACAACATGTAATATGCGTAACTGCACTCAACCCAGGCCTGCAGATCATAATTCGGTGAGTTGCGGAGTTTAATATCCTGATTTCCTCTTAGGAGAATTTGCATATCGAAATGATGAAGAATTTCAGTGACTTGCTGAAAAGCTACAATTAGTAGCCTTGTCATTTCATCCTCTCTTTTTTTTGGCTATTTATATTGGGGTACCACTTAAATGTTAATGATTAATTCCATTTAGCTGGACTCTGGCATAATTTATAATTTTCATAAGATATTTCTTGGTCTTAAAGCTATCCTATCATCAACATATTAGATATTTCTCAATTCCTTTCCAGAAATCTGCTGCCAAGCCTCTACAAGCTCCCCAGGGTTATACATCCTCCACTCCTTATGTTGGTTCTGGTGCTCCCTCTTCAATGTATCTTGGTGTTCCACCATATGGGTCTTCTCTATTCAATGGGTCATCAATTCCTCCATACGATGTTCCATTTTCTGGAGGATCAGCGTATCACTACAATTATGGAAGTCGTCTTTCTGCTGGCAGTCCTTACAGACCACTGCATTTATCTGGACCAGTACCGTACTCAAGTGGATCCATGTTGGGAAATGGTATGTTTTGTTTTGCTCAATCATATTGTTCAAATCAATGCCCCTCCTCTCCAGAAGAAGGGAAAAAATGGAGGGAGGGAGGGAGAGAGATAACACATGCTTGTTATTGAGATGACACTTTAGGTTTATGAAGGGAGAAAAGAGGGATGAGTGGCAAGGAGAAATCGGATATTCCTGCCCTTTGTATTTGTAATCGACTGATTAGTTATTAATTGTTATCTTTGATGTATACTATTGTCTCTTGTTGAATGTTGAGAGGTTCTTTGTGATGATAACATACCTTTTTGCTGAATTATTTTGTAGGTGGCATGTATGGAATGCCCCCTCTGGTGGACCGGTATGGCCTGGGTTTGCCGATGGGACCTGGAACTATGGTATGAATCATTAGATCATACTCATTTAGAGCTTTGAATATCAGTACCCTTCTGCTGAGATCATAATTATTTAGAGCTTTGAATATCAGTACCCTTCTGCTGAAAATTATTTTGTTGTGGCATGCCTCCCACTGATGGGTTGATGTGGCCTTAGTTTGCCCATGTAACCTGTCACCTGCTGACTTTTTCCTTCCATTTCATTGTTTCTTGGTGATGTTAGTTCTTGAGTTTTTCATGTATATATTACTTGTTTAGTTGATGTTATATGTTCTTGCAAGTTTTGACAGCCTCGTGAAGTTGCTTTTAACTTGTACATACTAATGAAGCATTTCTTTTTATTTACACGTTGGAAGTTTTTAGTATTTCATTTATTAACTTTAGAAACTAAAACTTATCAAGATTTGGGATCTTAAAGGATTTTTCATGTTTGAAATTAATAGTTAATTTTTTTCTGAGCAGGGCCCTAGGCCAGGGTTTTTTCCTGATGACAAGTCTCAGAAAAAAGGTGTGGGTTTGTTGTGTCAACTATTTATGCTTGGTTGTAATGGAAACTTCTTGGCTTATACTCAACTTTTTATGTCTAGATGCAACTCGTGACAATGACTGGACATGTCCAAAATGTGGCAATATCAACTTCTCATTCCGAACAGTATGCAACATGAGAAAGTGCAACACACCAAAGCCTGGATCACAGGTTTGCTGCCTCTCCCCATCTTTTTGCAGATTGATTATCTGTGATGGTTATGGGTGTCACCAACGTAATGATTGACATTGACTTATAGTGCAAATTTGATGTTACATTACAAGCTTTTGAGTGCTGTTTAATCTACAAATTTTTTGACAAGAATATTGTGTTGCAGGTTTCTAAATCAGACAAAAATTCTAGTAAGTAACCCCAGTCTGTCACCACGTATGTAATTATCTGATACTGATCATCAGTTAGTAATTGCATTTTTTCTCTTTCTGCCTCCTTGTGATTTAGAGCAAAAGATGCCTGAGGGCAGTTGGACGTGTGAAAAATGTAACAACGTAAACTACCCATTCAGAACCAAGTGCAATAGACAGAATTGTGGTGCTGATAAGCCAACTGAGCCCAATAAATCTCCTTCAGCGGCATCAGATCAAAATGATCAGGTCTGTTGTAGTATAGAACATTGCCTTTGTGTAGCCATCCTGCATTGTTTGCAATCATTATTGCTTTTGCAGACCTTTGTATGCATAATGAACCTCATAAAATGTCAAGCCGATGCAAAATTGTTAGTTAAGTGGATTTGGAAAAATTTCACACGTCCTTCATTTGGATTCTTTACAAATTATGACTACCTATTTAATTTTCTGTCTTTGCATTCTTTAATTTGCAATTATTTACTGTTCCAGTGAGTACTAGGACATGTTTGAGGGTTGAGAAGGTCCAGAGTTGTCATCCAGCATTGCTCAGTAAGGGTGTCTGACTGTCAGTCTTGTCGTCCTCTTTGTTGCAGCAGTTGTCAAGTCACTCACCTTCTCATGACCTGTGTCAAATTGTGTATTAATTGATGGTATTGGTCTTTGTGGATCATTATGATGCATGTGTCAGCCAGCTTGCCTGGCATAATTTGACAGGTTGGTTTTGGTATCTCTCAGATAGGTTTTCTGTACTTTCGGAATCAACTATTATTCTAGTGGGTATGTTATCATATACATTTAGGTAAGGTACCCAGAGGCAGAAAGGTTAATGACAGTTCCAGTTTTCTAGTTCTTTTTTCTTTTGGTTCTTGATTGCCTACATTTGAGTTTTCTCAATCAAGTAGTTGTCTTTAGAAGCTTGTGATGATTCAGATGCTTAGGTTGTCACGTGAAGCATTGGGTAGTTAGAAAAGAGTCTGCATGCTTTACCAATTGCTTAAATTCCTATGAATTGTGATGGCCTTTACTGGTGTGATTTTGCGCCATTCTCAATGGCCCATGTTAAATTTGACTTTGCATCTAGGACTACTCAGTATTTTTCTCATTAAGACTATTTTGACCCGATGACTATTCATTTGCTTTAGGATGTTGTGTCCTTGACGCTGATATAAGTGGTGCCATTATGATCTGTTTTGTGGGATAAGCTGTCAAAAGCCACAAATTAATCATTTTGTCGTAGGAATCTGCGTCCTACCATCTCTTTATGGTCCAGTTCTTTTGGTCCTGTCCTAGTTCATGTTTGATTAGGAATAAGATCACAATCCTAAGCGCTAGACCATTCCTGTCTATTTAACATTTAGATTTCTACCAAGAAGATAGACATCTAGCTGTTCCATCTGGGAATCTTGTGGGGTGCTTTGGTTGTAGGTCATCCTGTTTAAGTTGACTTTGCTTTCATGCATGGTCATTGTTTTGGTCCATTTGCGACCATGGAAGTTTAGAACACTTCTCGCATCACGACTAGAAGACCATCTTTGCATGATAGGCATGGCTGCAGATATCCGTCCTCTTTGTGGATCCTTGCATGACCGTTGGTGGGTCTATGACAAGTTTCATCCAAATGTCTGGTTGGTTCATACGATCTTAGACAACTTCATCTATTTCATTGTATAAGCTGTGAATAATGTTGAAATGATGTTGCGGATATGTATCGCCATAAGCACTTCACTGAAGCCGCGCACTGGAAAGAGTGGGCAGCACATCATTCAATGGTTAGCAACCTTTGAACGTTCTTGTAAAGTCTCAAATAGAAGAGTATCGTTGGAAAATAAGCTCCGGAACTTGTGTGACTATTAGCGCACACTTTGGATTACATCAACTGGCTTCATATAAACCATCGATCCATTCGCTCTCCTCCTTGAAAGAGGCCCTTATTCAGGTTTGGCATAGAAAGTTTAGTTGTAGATTTCGCGCTTCATTTCCCCTGGACAATCCACGCGCCAAGCGTAGAGCGATTCGCAGCGGATTTTTGGTACGGTTTGCAAATTTTCCCTTTAACCATATGTCATGCTCCATTGTATTCTTTTTTATCTGAGGCTTTATTAACTATTTTCTGGATGTAAATAAAATTAGTTAAAATTAATTAGATATGATTTTTACAATTTTCTTGATTAAAATGTTCTCCATTGATCCTACTCTAATTTTGAACCGTGTTTTTGAATAGATAATGAATTTCGTTACTACTAAAACGGGATTTTATATTGTACAAGTATACAGTAATCGGAATGCCACCTACCAAAAGAATACCAAAGTGTGCTACAAGACTCATTTGGAGGCCTTAACAATGTTTCGCTCAAGCGTATCAATTAAAGTTTTCAGACCCTCGAACTACGAAGTACTCGGGTTTCGGCAACAAGGTTTGAGTCATCTTAACGCCAAAAAAAAAAACGAAAGATTTCAAATAAAATTGATTGCAAAACAATTTCGAAGATTCCTATTTTGAGGGTGAGAAGGTTCACTTGTTTTTTTATTCGGCAATCAGGTTCACTTTTAACTCCACAAGCTATCATGAGTGGGCACTGCCGTAGTGAACTTGGTGCTTGGTTCAATGGAAGGGAAGGGATTTTAATACCTTGGGAGAGAAGGGTCAACAGGAGATGGGAAGAAAAATCCATTTTGTTTTAACCAAATAGGGATAGGGGAGGCACTATCCTTCATTTTATTTTAACCAAACCCTCCATCCAAATTAAGCGTAAACTCTACTGAATGTTTTCACTTGTGCTACAAAAGGAGTCATATGTAGTGGGGACTCCGGCGAAAGGAAAAAAAAGGCAAAAAGGCTGGGTGCAAATTTATTGATTTTTCATTTTTTCACTCACCGTACAATGACTTGTCATTTCAAATACTTAGGCAGTAACTTTTGATAATAAAATTTAACTTGTTTTTAATTTCAAAATTCTCTTACTTTTAATTTCTTTGAAGATAGTATGCTAAATATATAAACTAAGTACCTAAAGCATATTATAAGATCTTATTTCTGTCTGTTTTGATTTAAAACTTGCAGGAAAACAACATTCCCTTCAGTCCTATTTAGAAATGCCTATTAGCATATAAATCAAGAAAATTAAAATTAGTCATTTCTTATAAAATTTCCAAATTACCATCAACAAATGTCATTAATTAAATGAGTTTATTTAATTAATTAGAAAGTTTCATAGTTTGTATGAGATGCGAAATGAAAAAATCATTTTAGAAAGAAAAAAAAAATGTTAAACACATGTTAAAAGTCATTCTAATAAGATCAAGATCGGAGGGGGGAAAAGTGTTAAAACTCATGGTTGAAGAACACAACTCACACTTCTATCCCCAAAATAAAAAATATGAAAAAAGAAACACAACAAAATGCTCACCTGGTCCCAAAAACTCCCAATAGTATTTTTTTTTGTCTCACTCCCAATGGTGATGCGTACAAAGTGGATAACCAAAGACGTTCCATGTAATTAACAAGAGGTTTCAGAGTGGAATATTGAATTTAGATACCCCCGACAAGAAGCTATCCAGTGTGCTAATTACGTTGTCAAACATCACCAAACTGATTCTGTATAATCCTCGTCCTGGATATTTTGCCCAGCTAAGAGAGGATCTTTTATAACAGTTTGATTTGTTCTCAGCTCCTTTCAAGTTTTAACTCGCCCTTTGTAATCTAAAAGAAAAGCAAAAGAGGCTTTCATGACAACATGAAACGTCAAGTGCAGAAGATGTTTCGTGACGATGTGGAAATTGGTCCCGTCGGTTGCTACTACTTGTCGAGTTAACCAAAAGCAAGCTCTAATAAAATGTACCAAACATAACATGCAGACTGGTTTAGATCCGATTCCCAATGTCAAGAAGGCACAAAAAGAGACACACTTAAATGTTGCATATGGGAAATCAAGCACAAAAGTCATCAGAAACATTATGAGGCGGGACTGACCTCTCATATGACTTCAATTACAGGTTTCAACTATTAGATGTTAGGAGTCTTGTTAATCCAGCTGATTGCAAAAGCCAGACTCATAGGGTGCTCTGAGCAGCTGAAAATCTTCAAACTGACTGTCATCTTTACAGTCCGAGTATGAGACACCCATACGGGAGTCGGCAACAGGTTGTGGACAAGTCTGCCAGTAGTCTGATGAAGCATAAGGCAAGCACTGAATCATTGGATGTGTTACAGGCTGAGTCGTACCAGTATGAGTCGTGCGATTGGAGTGCTCTTGAGAAGCAAACTTTGCCTCATATGGACCCCAAGAGTTGGTGGTTGACAGAAGAGAGAGAGCACGGTGAAAGTCTTGTGGAGCATTCAGATCTGATGAAGTAATGAAATCTTCTATCCCTGCAAATGTTTGTGCAATGTGAATAATAATGAATATTAATCCCACAAACTAAGCTTTACAACATTTTCCATTTTCCTTTTTGGGTTAAATTAATATTTTGCTGATGTGAATATGTTTTCCTCTGATCACCGAAAATAGTTTGTTCGGTAGATCAATAGGAAAGTTTGTGTCTTTCACAACAGGCGGGCTAAGAGATTCTATGAAGGGGTTGACAATTGATCTGGCAGAAAGTATCCATCAATATATCAATCAAAATATGATATCAAACACCGTTCATAAGTTATGAATAATATAGCTCACCTCAAATTCTGTGTAATGCAGAGAAAACTGTCTAGTTATGTTTTAATGTCAATGCTTTGGCATAAATTTGTCTGTGAATTCATGATGCTGAGTTATCAAGAAAGATATGAAACGACCTGGATTGATTGTCTTCGTTGCTATGCCTTTGGGTATGCAAAGGCCACCAGAACCTTCAGAAAGCTTAGAAAAGGTACTTGGGATCTCGTTGAAGGGCTGATGCACCTGCCCAATGGCACCTCCTACTTTTGCGGGTTTCATGAGAAATTCTTTCGTTTGGGAGATCCGGCTGCTGTTGCTGCATGTATCCTGCCAAGCGAAGTTGATAGTGCCCCTGGAATTAGGAAAGGGGCTCATCTGTTGCCTCCCATCTGCAGGATTTATGCACACATAAGATCAGTATGGTTTTAAAGGCACTGTCATGAATTCAATTACTTGCACTATCATGGACACACACTTGTCATTTTGTCAGTTTTTCCTATGAAAAACTAGTGTTCCATTGTTTGATTTAAATTTTGACTTGGCAAAAGTTTTAAAATTGCCATTTGCTAAATTAGTTCAAGACTTCCACACAAACTCATGGTCTTGAAATTTCAAAAGTAGAGACTTAAAGGTCCTCTGTAATTAAATACACCTTTCTGCTTTTTGCAGGTGACATAAAATTGAATTTACTAGTTCCCATGACATGATGACACGTGCCTTTCTTTGCTCAGATTCGTCCTACCCCATTTTGCTCCAGATTAAGGCACAGAGAATCTTGTGTAAACTAAGGCAATATAACTATGGGTTGTTTGAAATTGCCTTTTGAAGGTGTCAAAACATGGTTTTGGCAGAAGAAATAAGAGTATTACTCTTGCGAAAACGTAATTCTGGAACCACTCCAATGCAGTTCTAAACACACATCAAGATGCAGATAACAGCAGCTAAAATGTTCAAAGCGAGCTACCCAGGGATGGACCAAGAATATATATTCCAGGGTGCAAGAAAAAGTTTGACCGCAAGGATTATTCCATATATTGAGTTATACCGTATGGAGATGAGGACAAAAATGGTGCATTCAATTGGACAGCTTCAGGATGAGGCTTTCGACGCCTAGCGTTATGATCAGAAAGACGGCGACGGCAACTTCTTTTTTTTCCATCAAACTCTGAGAGACCATGGAACCTTCAACATTACACGAATATGATCATTCATAACTACTATATCCCAACATAAGCCTGAAGGACTGGAATTTAATTCTAATTGAAGAATAATAATGACTTGCACATGACAATTAATAAATTCTTGCTCAGTCTCCAGAAAATATTGTGATGACTTGTATTCATTTTCATCCAAGTAATCAGATGTTTGTTCTAATTGAAGAATAATAATGACTTGCACATGACAATTAATAAATTCTTGCTCAGTCTCCAGAAAATATTGTGATGACTTGAATTCATTTTCATCCAAGTAATCAGATGTTTGTTAAGAATCTTTTTTTTAAATAAGAGTTTGATAGGAATCTTTACCTGCTACATTGCTGGCAAAATCGACGCTCCTTACCACCTACAATCACATTTGGGGATTTGGAATGACTTTCACAAACTCTATGCTTGCGATGGTAATCTTTAGCTGATGTCAGGTCAAGGTTACAGCTTTCAACCTGGCAGAGTGGAGGTTGTGAGCTCTGACTATTTGACTTGCCTTTTTTCCCAGTACTCAAAGATGGCACAGGAATCCCAGAGTGAGATGTGTTCTTTGATTCACTTCCAACACAGACATCTTCAAAGTATAGCCGTTTGCCAAGCTTTAGACTGTGCAGTGGTTCACCAGAGACAGAAGAATGTTCAAGTGTTGGAGAATTTCCAACAAGCTCTTCTTTGGATCTCTCTTTCTTACCATTAGAATCTTCTTGGGAGCCGTCAAAGGTGAGCACTGATGTTTTGCTATACCCATTTGATGAATTCATGGAAGCTGATTTTGAGCCCCTTGATGAAGAAACATGCTGTACCTCAGACCCAGAACTATCAAGACCACATGACGGATTGAACAGCCCAACATTGATTTCTCGATCTGCTTTGCCACTCCAATCTACTGGCTTTAACCTAGGATTCTCAGTTGCTTTTGTGTTAAAAAGTAGGTGTTCCCAGTCCCACTGCGAGAAAGACTTTGCATTCCAGTCCATCTGAAGACTTGAGAGATTCAAAATCAAGTGGTCCCGGCAATCTACAAATATATACATATATATGTGATATGGAATTGTCGGTTTTGAGATTGTATAGAAGCAAAGGAGAGTAATACAAGCTCTCCTCTATTAAGAAAACCAGAGAAACTAGAAGAATAATAGACAAAAAGCACAAAGCACCAACGAAAGCCGTATAAAAACAGGTAAACAATAGCCCAGATACATAGCTTTTGAATAGTCAATCTTTGCATAATTTTCAAAGGCAGATTATAGCTAGCCTTTACAAAACAACATTGAATCATGTGTTTCTGCACTGTCACGGCATGTGATATTAACATTCACTAATACAAAACTAAGTACAAAGCTAAACAAAAATTGAAACAAGCAATGCCAACATCCTGATTGGAGAATTAATATTTAGAAACCAGTAACTCTATTGCCACTACATGCTAAAGAAATACGATAAAATTCTTCACCACAGAAGCAAATTCCCAACCTGAGATGCCCCCAAAAGTAATTCTATGCCTTTAATGATGATCAAAATAAAGAAGTTGATTACATAAATCCATGTGCGCTCTCTTGTGTTCTGCAAATTTTCCGTGCGTAAGTTGTGAGGCTGATAAGTGGTTGTAGATTGTAATTAGAGCTTCAAGCTGAGATTAAGCCATTCCCACCTTTAAGGTTTGGGCGCCAACTTGACCCAGTCAATCTGTATTAATTTGTAGTTCAGCTCCAGTGGAGCGCTAGCACCCCTATTTCCCTAATCTAGCCTTTAATAGCATTTACAGGGACATTTTGTAGCGTTGGCAGCAAGTACCAAACGCAAGCCTATTTAACTCTTCCTACAATTGTGTAATTATTATACTCCACCTTGAATACGGGAAGCTTCAGTTTCAATAAAGATCTTGGTTTGAAGATCTTGACTATTAAGTCGCCTGAAAATTTATGTAAATGAAATTTAAGCATAAGATGCTAAAAGATTATTTTACACGCATCCTGAAAAGACCCAGTTGCGAGATAGCTTCCTCCTTTATAACATCGTCCTTTCAATAATTCGCTTTGTTACAGAAATTCCAGTTAGTCAAGCACTGAACAGGACCGATAACAACCCAAGAACCCAAAAATGATTACCTGGATAGACCAGACCACCAGAACCTACAATTACTTGGCAACGGCAGCCACAGACGACCACAACTAATTTTCCCATTGAAATTAAACGCCACCAACCGAACTTAGTAATAATAAATATCAGCAACTAATTAACAAACCTGCAAGGAAAGTACCTAATGGTCTGTATCAATTACTGATCTCTAACTAAAAGGAGGAAAGGGAGGGGGAACTTATTGAAACTCAACATGACATCATCATCATCATTATCAAACAAATTCGGATATAGCCTTTGCTTTGAAAATGTAATGGAATCATGAAATCCATTCACTGAGATAGATACAATCGGCTTTATGTATTACTAAATTGGGTCATTTTGAACCCCTTCCAAAAATCACTGAAGGTTTTACGAAAAGAGGAGAAACATTTAAAGAAACGACCAGCATCGTCTCGTGCTCTCAGCGCCATCGCTTTCTAGAGTAGATAATATACCGAAGTGTCACAGAACAGGGGAAAGACGGCGCAGAAAAAGCATCTTTTTCATTGGCTAAAGCGCTTCTTTACATTATGAAGGCTTCAGAAAAGGATATTGCAATCTGACTCCGGCACAAAAGGAAATCGTAAATAAAGTACTAACGATAATGATAATAATCATAAAAATAGGAATAACAATTAACAATAAAAAATCAAAACATAACCGCCGCAAACCACTATTTATTCTCTTCTATCGGAGCCGACTAAAACGGAAATAGAAAGAAATACCTAAATAAGCTAGTCAAACAAACTCAACTCCCGAAACGGTAAAGCGATCTCTATTTGTGGCTTTCGCCAATCTCAGAAATCAAAAGCTAACAAAAATATCAGATTCCAAAGGCTAATAGAGGAAAAGAAGTTTCAGAAACCGATCAACACAGAGCTGGAGGTCGTGCACGCTAAATCATGAAAAGCATAAATTCCAACTTCCAGAGGAAAAATCGCATAGCTTACAGATTCCGAAAGAGGACCGGGAATTAAATAGGAGATATCGCCGAGCATTTGGAGTCGAAGCATTCCATTTGAGATTTTGAGTTCACCGGCAGAGGCTGACGCGGACGTACCGTCTGAGCACTGAGTCCCTCACACAGTTAATGTGCATTTCTGCTTTTGGCTGCAGCTAGCTAGCAAGCAGCCTTATAAATCAAGTGCCTCTTTTCTATTCTGTTTTTCACTTTCTTTCCTTTTCTTCTCTTTCCTGATCCTCTCAATTATTATCAGAAATCAATAATCCAGTGCTGCGGCGGCCCACGCTCCTCCAATACTCCGGATCTGGTATATCCGAGATGGTCGGATTTGTTTAACTCTTCACTGTTTACAGGCTGCCGTTGGATTTTATACCTCCCGTCCTTCCTTCCTTCTTTTTTTAATATAAAAACTAATTTTATTTTTAATTTAATTTTAAACATAATACTCTAATTCATTTTATTTTTTATATTGATTTATTTTTTAAATTAATTTTTATAATAGTTACACATATTAAATGTTTATTAAATAAAAGTATTAACTTATACATATAATTAATAAAGATATTTTAAAAAAACAATATTTATTTATTACAAGTAATTAACTTAATCAATTTTCTTTCAAATCAGTCAACGAAGGATCAAATATAGTATAAGTTATATAACTACGTCCAAAAGTTGATAAAAATTAATAAAAGACAATAAATATATGAAAAATATTTTTTTCCTATGTATAATATTTATGTAGAGAGTGAGTGAGAGAAGAGTGCAAGAAAAATACGAAATAAAATAAGTAAAAAAAAAAGAGACAAATGTGTAATTAATTGGAAGGAAAAATAAAAAATGAATTAAATTTTAAGACAAGTACAAAGTGCAAATTATCTCATATTCAAAAAATTGTAGGACAAAAGGGAGTAGAATTTCTGACCGAGAATAATTGTTTTTCAACCACAATAAAAATTAATAAAAGCTCAAGAAATCAATATAAAAAATGGAGTGTTAAAATAAAAAGGGGCTATGAATTTACCCTTTTTATTTTTATTTTGTTAATAATTTTAAATCCTTAATTTTGAAAGCTTTCAATTAGACTCATGAGTCAACAAATTTATATGTTCCATCGCAGATGTGTTTTTGGGCAAGCATTTGGGTATAAGAAAATAAAATTGTTGGATTTAATTCAAATTCATATAGATTGAATTGATCAATTGTACAGGATAATGAATGATTTTACCAAAATATCCTCTTCGCAAGAAAATATATAAAATTGATAACGTAAAGTTTAAAGAGTAATAAGTTGTTAATGTTAAATGATAGATGCCAATGTGAACTTTTTATAAGAAAATCGTAAATTTTATAATTAAATAATTACAATGTTTCTCTTTTTACTTTTTTTAATTATTCAAGAAATTGAAATTATCTACGAACTGAGGAATAGTAAGAAAGGACACAGCCGCCAAAACAAGGGTAACGCAGCCAAATTAACAAATACTACTATTCAGTTTCCTAAGGGGGAAAATATGCAAGAGGAAAAAAAAAGAGTTGCTTTTTTATTGGCTTAATTTGGAAACGATTCAGTTTTGATGCAGTACTGCTATAATGCGAACAATTTGTTGCTCCTCAATTCCAACATGATTGGCCAAAAAAAATTTCCAACAAGATTAAGAAAAAAACATTGGTGGTTAAATTGATTATTTGTTAAAAAAATATATGCTGGTCTTTATAAATTATTATCTTTAATCATGTGTATCAACAATTAATAGGGACATTTTAAAGAAAACATAAATTTAAGAGACAAAGTGAATTGAGAGGTCGACTGGGAATAGTATTTAAAACTAAATATAACTTTTTAACCAATTCTTATGTATACTACTTTCGGTCATTAATATAAAAGCTAGTTTAGTATTTACTTTGGTCATAAATATAATATAAGAGTCTAATTCATTTGTTTCTCGTATTTAATCATTTTTAGCAAGTTAGTTCTCGTAATAGTTACACGTGTTAAAAGTTTCATCAAATAATTGTCCTAATTAATACACACGATTAGCAATGGTATTTCAGGAAATACAATATCTATTTATAACAAATAATTAACTTAACTAATTTTTTAAATATATTCAAATTAGTTAACTCACTCTTATATTAAAAATTAAAAGTAATATAAATACAGGAGGCAGTTCAAGTTCGTACCAAATGCAATCCTGGAAACCAGATTGTCATGAACCGTCCCAAGTGCACAAAAACCAGAAGGACTAGCTTAATGGTTTGGACTCGTCTTGCGTTGTACCCTTGCGAATGAATGAAGACAGTTTTTATCATCAATTTCTTAAATTTTTTTGGATCAAATTATAATTAGAAAATTAAACTAGAGAGAATTATAACAATTTTTTTTAAAAAAAATAATTATTAAAAATTTAATAACAATCTAATTAGTTTGTAATAACATAAAAATAATAAATTTTTAGGCTTATTTTATAGTTATTTTTTTATTGAAGATTTTATTACAGTTCTTCCATTAAACTATTTGACTATGGATGCGTTGGAAAGAGGAAAGTAACATATGTAGACTTAGGCATAGGCTGATATATTTCTGACAATGACAATTTTGGGGCAGCCCGCTTGGCTATGAGTTAGAAAGCAACAGCAAATTCAATATCCGCAGATGAAAATGAGTCGGAACTATTCAATTTTAAAAATAATTAATACGTAAGTATTATAATTTCATTTCATTTCTAATTAAAGTTTTTATATTTCTTTACTTTTTATCATGTTCTTGTAATTTTCGTGCAAAAAAAAATTACATCCTTATACTTTTCTTATTTATAATTAAGAAAAATGTAAAAATTTAATAAAATAGTAATCTGATTAAAAATGAGATGAAAATTATAAAGTTCGAAGAATTAATTTTTGACTAGTTTATCAAACAATTAATAATTAAGAGTTGAAAATTAGATCAAATTGGGCAATAAGAATTGATTGCTAATGGTGAGGAGTAGACAGCACAAGTACGAAACCCTTGCGGTGATGATTATGGCAAGTGGTCCACGGGAGCACGATGTCTTTACTAGTTCACTGTGATTGTTCCATCAAGGCACGCTTCAATTTGGCTTTTCTTTTCCTTCGTTTGCCCTTTTGAATTTTTATCGTTTGAAAAAGGAAAAATGATACAAAAAGGTAAGAGTGTGCAAGAACCCAATAATCTGATTTAGTCCGGTCTAACTCAAAGTGATCCGGTCCAGTCCAATCCAGTTTAATAAACTATATAATGAAATTAGACCAACTGGACCAGACTGGTTGGTTGAGCTGGACAGGGTTTCAGATCAAGTAATCAAACCACCTAGACTGGTCCGATCCAGTCTAGGTAAATTTTTTATTTTTCAATAATTTGTAATTTAGATGTTATCTTTATTTTTTTAAAAATATTTTTAGAGATTTTTATGTATTTATGATGAAGTCTTAATATTTTAGGATGAGTTTTATATTATTATAGATATTTTTTATTGTCTTAAATTATATTTATCATGTTGAAATCTTACTCCCATAAAAAAAAATTAAAAAGAAAAAAATTGAAAATCTAGACTATCCGAACCAACCCACTAGTCTGGTGGACCAAGTTCAGTCCAATCAATCACAAGTCAAAACTGGACTGGACCAGACCACAAACTGTCAAATCCAGCCCAACCAAAAATTAAGTCAAACTTTTAGACTGGGCTTTGATTTGGTACAGTCTATCCGCTGTGCAGCCCTACAAAAAGATACTTGGAATTGGTAAAGATAAAAATGAAAAACTAAAATTTGCTAAAATTAAAACAAAAATAAATGCCACTTATTTTCCAAAAAAAAAGTTCTCAATCCCCACATCACCAAAGAACCAATGAAGGGAGGTTTTTTTTAAAAAAAAATGACAAAAACAATACTTTTTAAATTTCAAATTGATAAAGAGGTGATTTTAACTGATTTTGACATGTTAAAAATCATTATAAGAACAGTGCACATGACTTATTTATCGTTTTGAAATTTAACATGTATTTTTTTGTCTTTTTTTTTAAATTTTTGTTGGAAAGTGATGATGGTGGCCTTGATACAACCATCGCTGCCCATATTTTACAATCAAAGTAATGCGAAAAACAATACGCATATGTATAAGTTAGCTATTATTTTTATTACAGGTCATTTAAAATTTTTATTGAAGTATTAAATACATTTTATTAGTTATTAGAAACTTGAAAAAATAAAAAATTTAGCCATGTTTGTTGGGAATATGTAAATCCTAAACTTGAGATGTTAATAACAACTTGTTAATGCATTTTTACTAATTTTGAAAGGGTCACAATTTCAAATAAAACATTTGGGAAAATAAGAAAACATAATGTATTGACAAAATGCTGAATTCTAACTTGAGATGGTAGTAAAACACATTTTCAGTCCATTTTATCAATTTTGGAATAAAAGTTAACAATTGTTATTTTTCACCCAAACACTTGGAAAATTGAGAAAACGTCATCTCTTAGACACACCTAGACTGGTCCGATCCAGTCTAGGTAAATTTTTTATTTTTCAATAATTTGTAATTTAGATGTTATCTTTATTTTTTAAAAAATATTTTTAGAGATTTTTATGTATTTATGATGAAGTCTTAATATTTTAGGATGAGTTTTATATTATTATAGATATTTTTTATTGTCTTAAATTATATTTATCATGTTGAAATCTTACTCCCATAAAAAAAAATTAAAAAGAAAAAAATTGAAATATGGACTATCTGAACCAACCCACTAGTCTGGTGGACCAAGTTCAGTCTAACCCAATTACAGGTCAAAACTGGACTGGACCAGACCACAAACTGTCAAATCCAGCCCAACCAAAATCAAGTCAAACTTTTAGACTGGGCTTTGATTTGGTACAGTCTATCCGCTGTGCAGCCCTACAAAAAGATACTTGGAATTGGTAAAGATAAAAATGAAAAACTAAAATTTGCTAAAATTAAAACAAAAATAAAAGCCACTTATTTTCCAAAAAAAAGTTCTCAATCCCCACATCACCAAAGAACCAACGAAGGGAGGTTTTTTTTGAAAAAAATGACAAAAACAATACTTTTTAAATTTCAAATTGATAAAGAGGTGATTTTAACTGATTTTGACATGTTAAAAAT